TACATGTCGTAGCCGTGCGTGAAGAGCCGCGCGGCCTTCGAGTACTCTTCGCCGTGAAAGAGGTACGGCGTGTGCGGGTCGTTGCGCACGTCGAGCGCCGACTGCGCCGTGCCAAAGTTGAAGCCGCCGGCGAATTGCGACATGAGCCGCGGCTTGGATGGCACGGGCACCGTGATCGACGCGCTGTACTGGATCATCGAGTCCTTGTCCTCGGTCTCGATCTTGGCATGACACATGAGCGTCACGCGCTTCCGGAAGACGCCGTCCGGCGGCATGTTGGTCGTTGCGTCCGGGTACACGGTGATGATTGCGCGCTTGTTGCCGATCGAGTCCCATTGCGAGAGGACGTCCGTGTCCCAGTGCTTGATAAAGAGCGTGTGCGAATCGATGGCCAAGACGAAATCGTCGATGGCCAAGTCGATGCCCTTCTCCGACTCGTACCGACCGAGCGTCGGGCCCGTGGCTTGGTCGGCATCGATGGTACCGTTGCGCCGCAGCCGCTCGGACCGGCGACACTCGGCGTCGCCCACCTTGGCGCAATAGGCGTCAAAGCAGCGCTCCTCGCCTTCGTGCAAGTAGAGCTGGTCAAAGAGGCTCACAGTCACGCGCTCGGGCACGGCGGCGCGCGTGAAGAGCGAGTCGAGCGTCTCGGCGCATCGGAGCGTGTCGCGGTAGTTGGCAATGAGCACGATGATGCGGCGGTGCGGCGGCGGCGTCGGCTCGGCCACGCGGAGGTGCAGCGCTTGGCCGCTCGCCGGCACCGCCGCCTTGTCCATGCTGGCAAAGGACAGGTTGAGGAAGAGCATGACGCTAACAACCATGCCGAGCCCGAGGATCACGATGAACTTGGGCGTCAGCGGCGACGCGGCCCGTCGGCGAGGCGGCGCCATGAGGATGCGGTCGGGCTGAAGAAACGCAAGGTGCCATCCCGTCCCGAGGTGGGCATTCCGGATATTGAGCAGTGTATCCGGATGATCTGCCTCCAGGCACGTGGCAGCCTGGCAGAGGAGAATGACCAACCTCGACGCGGCTTTTGCCTGGCGTTGGACAGACCTGGTTGGTGCCTTCGAGCGGTGGCCGCAAAGTCGGAAAATAAGAATATATATATGTATATGTACGTGTAGAAGGCGTCGCAAGAGTTGGTGAGAGGAATGGGGTTGCAAATGTTGTGAGATTAGCTTCT